TCATGCTTAGAGTATTACAACTTTTCCTGCCATTTAAATTGCAATGTAGGCTTTGATTACGTCAGTAAAGGTCAAAATAAAAAAAGCCTTTGTAAACGACTGCTTTCAAAGTCCCATACACATAATAAAAAGAGAAAACACAACATTTGAGAGAAAGCAACATACAAATATGAGTAAACTGAGCATCAATTTACTCATATAAATACCTGCAAAGTTATAGTTAAAAATATAGCTACTAACAGTGAGTTAAAAACCAACACAAAGAACTGTACCTTAAGTAGAGAAATATCGGACAGTTTCTTATGGCCTGTAAGCATTCAATGATATTCAGTTTCATTTTCTTTGAGGCTTTGAAAGTTTATCTCCATCCAAGATATAATGTTGTTTCGCGAGGTATTAATATTTATTTTACTCCATCAGTTGGAGGTAATTGGAAAGTTGTACACAAAGCAATGAAAAGAAAGAGGATGCATTAATAAAAAAAAGAAAGGCTGAGAATATAACCCTGTGGGGCTCTGTATTGTAATGAAGCTGCTGCTGATGAAGTTAAAGAATATCAAGCCCAAAAGTCCAGAAATATGTATATAAAAAAAGAAAATTTTGAAGAATGTTTAAATTTCCTAGTTCCAAAAATATAAGTGATAGAATTTAGCTGAAAATCTGTAAAGGTTAATATGATCTTCCTAAACAGTGAAATGGTTAAAAGGACAAAGCTTTTCTCTTACTTGCTGCCTGTGTATTCCTCTCAGTCTGCCCTGGCATACGAAGAGGTTTTGACTTTTTGTTTACATGTTGAACTTCAGAAAGATGTCTGGCATCTTCTTGGGTAGAACCCTTAACTTGCTGTTCTTCTCCAGTTAATGTGATACCCAAATTCTGAGTCCTACTTTCACCTGGGATGACCGGATCATATGTCTGGAATCCATCTTTGGGCCTAATTTTGTCTTGAGCCTGAGGTCCTTTAATATCTTCATTGTTTGCAGGTGCATATAAAGGATTTATCCCTGCTGGATGCTGCACAGTGGAAAACACATTGCCATTGACATCTTGCCCTTGTGCAGGAGTTTTACACCCACGGCCTTTGCTCATTTTACCATTTAATGGGTTTATGCCCAAAGGTTCTGACAAATCAACCAAAGGTCCAACATTTTTAGCATCTTGATTTCCTCCACTTGATGGATCTCTGGGGCTGTAAAGTGGAGAACTGTAAGAATCCAGACTTTTGATGTCTTGATCAAAAGGAAGCTGCCTACTACCAGTGCCTGCTAACACTGCCTCACTGCCCCCATTATTATATCCCTGAGATGGTTTTTGGAAAGCTGGAAGACCAGGAACTTTATTCTGTTTATCAAGAGGTAATGAAGGCCTATGATTTGATGCGATGTTTCTGTTAATTTCGATTCTTCCATGTATTCTGGGAACAGTAGGACCAAAGATGCTGCTTCTCCTCAATCCAGCTCCAAGTGATCTTTCTTGTTCTCCAAGATCTACAGCTCTGCTTGTTTCTCTGTTAAAATCTTGAGCTGCCAGACTTGCCCCTTCAGGTCCACCCAAATCTGCTGCAGACACACCTGGCAGAGAAATATCATCATGCGATCACAACTTCCTTTTGGGCCAGGAGAAAGTCAGCATGTTTCCTCAAGGTCAGACCCACTGGCCATTAAACAAGCACGGTTAAACTCCTCATCCAGACAATAGATGTCGCTTTAAAAAGGTTTTACTAACGGCCCAAAGACTAAATCATTTGTGGTCTGAAATTAGTTGAAGATCTAGTGACTGAAAAGACAAAGAAATCTTCAAATGTAAAAAGTACGTGTCATTAGTCAGTACATTGCATAAAAAAAAAACGCAACCTGCTTTTGATATTTCCTCTAGTCAGATTCAGTACAGTTTAGAGGAGAATGTTGGGTTAAAATTTAATACATGATACCTCTGAAGTCTCATCACTCTTCAAAGGAAAACTGATTAGAATTTAAACTTTTCCATGTATATTAAATCCCCACAAAGATATTTAAAGAATGAGAAGGGGGAAAATTTGTCTACATAATGGCTACATCAATTACAAATACATTTTCCTATATCACAAGGTTGGTAACATGCATCCACCAGTACCAATGCAAACCTTTTGAAGGCTTACAATCACAAATACCAGCCAGTAAGGGTTATGTTATGATGGAAAGATGTGATTTTGTATAAAATAAAAAAAAATTAAGTTTGAGGCGATCCAAGAAAACTGAATAATTCTGCAGTGTTACACAGACAAAATAGAGAAAACACAGAAGTCTTGGTGAGTCAAATCGTTTTAGTTTCTCAAAGCCTTTTGATCAATAAAATGACTCAATAAAGTTTAAAGAAATATTATGTAAGTTTTGTACTGAACAATATATTAAAAATAGCATTTTTGTTTTACCGTTTACGATTAAAATATAATTTGATGAGCAGCCGGACGTTCTGCAGATGTAACGTCAAATACATCCATGTTAAATGGGACCGACCTAGCAACAAATCGAAGAGTTATATTCAAGATGGAGTTTTTTTTATACTTAGAAGTGACCAGCATCAAGCTCAACTTAGACACTAATGGCAACTCCATGTAAGGTGGAAAAAGTTGTTTTTTTTAAACCCTTATTAATTACGAGAGCGAACTACGAGAATAAGCAAATGATTGCTGCTGTTTTGTATTTTGGCCACAGGTGGCAGCATCATTAGAAAACTGTAGTGTCTCTTTAAATCAAAGCAGACTTTACAAATGTCTGGGTTTAGCCTACATTACTTATAGTGAATATGTGCATTGCTAATAGATAGTTTAAGTTGCACAAAACTTTTGCGACAGTATGAGAACAGTATGCTCTACAATGTTACACAAGAATATACTAAAAGTTGTATCATATAGAAATTTGCAGAACTCGCAAAACACTCTGCAACCCATAGCTGGATGTGATTTGGTTCTAAATAGAGCCATGATTCAACACTAACCTGGGCGTACGCCTTGGTACCCAACACCTGGATATGCTCCATATCCTGGTGAAGAAGAGAAAACAATCAGTTATATCTCAATCAGGCAAGACTTTGCAGTCTGCAGCTGTGTTTTCAGAGATAATGACTACTGCATCAAATTATCTGCAAGAACTATGTTATCTGTACATAACAAGCAAGCAGAGGGTTGCTCAGGAGGAATGCCTTTTTTTGTGTTTACTGCAATTTAGGTAACATGAAGGCAAAGAGGAAGAAACATATTTATTTACCTGGAAGAGACCCAAGGCCTGCACCATAGGCTGTAGAATAAAAAGTTTTAAAAAGTAAAAAAATTGTACTCAAAAGATACTTTTGGATAAATCCTTAGAACTCTGTGATCTTAGGTACCACCAAAAAAATAATGCAACAGATTGGGGCGCCCCTAAAATACATATTGAGTGAGTTGCTTTTTATTTATTCATATATATTGAAGTAATTATATATATTTTTTAATACATTTATCTTTTCAATTATATTGAACTACCTAGCTAATAATCTTAAATGTTTTTTTTATTATTATTATTAGAGCAGTTATTAAACTTAATTTTGCATTTTACCATCTTAATTCAATTTGATTTACTTTTTAATAGTTGGGTTGTGTTTTAGAGAATCAAATAAATGTGAAATCTACTTATTTCATGGCTGTTTTTTATGGGATATTCACATTTATGTATTTTATTAGACATTTTGTCCCTCAGCGATCACATCTCAACGGTGTGAAAAGTAATCTCATGTCCTTTAAGGGGTCCCCGTCTCTACTTTTGGAAGCCCTGGTGTAGAAATAGAGCCAGTGGCAGGAGTTTCATTGGTTTGACACCTTTTATCAATTGGAGTGTAATCCCACTAAAGGACCTTGAAGCTCTTCATGCAGCATCAGTTACCAATATCATTACTGATATGATTTTAAAAAACAGAGTCTAAACTATAACCACTCTGAATCTGAGCTTTTTCTCCCTCAGTGGTTATTAAATGTGTTTGGTTTTTTTTGTTTTCTTTCCTGTCTGGGGGATATAATTGATATTTTTAATGGTGTTCTCAAAGGATTCTTTTTTTTTTTCAATTGTTAGTCATTTCTGTCTGTGTCTTCTGGGCCTAATGTCTGATGTTCATTATGGTCTCATAATAAGAATAAATATGATCAACTAGTTGATGATTTTTGTGTCATTTTTTTTCCAGTAAGTAACTTTGTCTGATCTCACCACGTTTTCCTCCCTGACCCAGGCCTAAGCCGAGTCCATTTGAAAGTCCTGCACCCAGACCCATTCCAGTTCCCAAACTGGCACCTGCAATCACACAAATTATGCATTAAAAAGAGACAGAGGAGAAAGTTGTGAGAAGGAATGAGACGTTTAGGGCCTTATCACCTACCGTAGCCTCCATGGGCTCCATATCCACCCGGCCTCAGGCCTCCTCTTCCTCCTAATCCAAGAGATCTGTAGCCTCCTGGAGAACAGTGGAAACTACAATGTGTGTCTAGTTCACAGCTGTTTTCAAAGCTGTGTTTAAACAGGTTGGCTCAAAAATTTGTCTTAAACTGTAAAAAAATAACTTCTTGCTTTCTGTAAAAAAAAATAGGGCGATAGAAAAAATTGATTTAACCTTTCAATTTATTCTTTGATTTGCTTTGACTTAACTTACCAACACCAAGGTGGGCCCCAGGATAACGACCAACTGTGATTAAAAAATAAACAGATAAATATGTTTTTTTAATAGTTAATAAAAATAGCTATTGTCTAAAACAAAACATACTCCCAGTCTTCATTGCTTTTGTACCATATCGGTTTCCTACTGCTCCAAGGGCTCCGGTAACTAAAGGAAAAGAGGACAGTTTTTTTTTCAAGAATTTTTCATGTGTTTCTTTGTTTAGTAGGTTGTTTTTTATGCCCTGTGGCAACTTCCTAGATTTCTTTGTGTGCGAACAGACATTCTATTATCCATTGGTGGAAAAGTCTGTCAGAGGACATATTTTAATAAAATAAAATACTGCTACAGCTGCGCTGTGCCAGTGGATGGCATTTATCCATGAGTTAACAAGGAGTGTTAGCTAATAGACATTGCTAAATATTTAGAAAAGGTCAAATTTTTAAAATGAATCTCAAAAGTCTCAACTAAACCAGAAATATTGAGCCCTTTAGTTAAATCAGATCCTAACATTTTATACTAAAATGTTTTTCATATAATTTATACATTACTTTATGTTGCTGTGTGTGCAAAGACTAGTAAATACACTACTGCAGGTCTATCATTACTGATTATCGATTTACTAAATATAAGATTAAAGGGGAATCTAGCAGATTTAGCTGGTTATCTTCAGATTGCAATCTCTTAGCGAGGCAACACAGTCAACTGTGAGAGCAACTATGCATAAGTGACTGGATGCCAAGAAAGTTGACAAAGCTTTCATTTAAACTGCTTTGAAACTTTTGAGTTTGATTTGTCGGTAATGATGTACATCTTAAATTTGACACTTTCTGACCGATTTCAAAATCTAAAATTGCTTCAGATTCTGCTGAATGTAAGACGGCAACACAAAGTCAGGCATGGGCCATGAAAGTAATAAAAAGATGTTCCTTTGGGTTTAGTCTTTTTAATGTGATGCCAGTTAAAGTTGTCACTTTCCCTTATCTATAAGATAGAAAATAGAAATATTTCTAACACAAATAATTATGGTGTGGAAACTAAAGGGAGCATCCAACAGCAGGCCGGCTCAGATGAACATTAACAAAGTAGCATTAACTTTTATACTGTTACTATATAGAGAGAAAAGGTGCTGCATTCATTAATTTATATAAAAATAAGAATGAATGAATGTTATGAAAAACAATATTATAACCATAATAAAAAATAAGTTAGATTATTTCAGCTGCATTACAAACATGTGTTGCTTTTCTACTCCAAATAAAAGAAATTGAAGCATGCCAATAAGAATAATTGAATTAATATAGAACTCCTATTAATGGATACATATTAAAAGACTGACCTCCAGGTTTAACTCCAATACCAACACCTAAAACAAAACAGAAAAACAGAAACTAGATACATATGTTTCTAAATTATGATGATAAAGGGGTCATTTTGATTTTCTACTATTTGTTTTCCCCTTTAGGATTAAATCTTTTGATAAAATAGACAAAAAATATCTTAAGAAGTGCTGTACCTCGAGCTGGCAGGGCCCTCCCATAGGCCACATTTTGAGGCCTAACTCCTGCAACAATAAGAATGCATGAATACATTGTGACAGCACAAAGATTGTAGGTTTATTATTAAATTATGAACCAAAACCAGTCCTCAAGAAAAGCATGAATGAAATTAACATATGCAAATATACATGTACATTTTTCTGGAAGAGCTATTATCACGCATGTGTTAATATGTAGGAAAATAAAGGGATTCAATGACAGCCGTGTAGGGGTGGAGACTGCTCCACTCTGTGGAGCCTCAAAGTTCTCACAAATCAATGTCAGGTTTTCATGCCTCTGCCACCTTCTTATTACATCCTTTCATTTGCAGAAAACAGACCATATAAACCACTCCGACTTGGCAGCATTCAAGAAGCCACATATTCAGTCCTTGTTTTTCCTTCCTCAGTCTCACTGATGTGATATTTAACAGGTGGGTGAAAGTGAGTCACATGGATGCCGAATCATTAATCAAGTGCTGAATTAAGTTACGCTGCTTTTGACATATGGACTGAATGCTTTTTTATATCTCATCAACTTAAGTTTTATTTTCTGTAAACT